ATTGCAAAACAGACAGAGTCATGTTTATATAAAATGAAAAAAAAAAGGAGAAGAAGAAAAATAAAAACAAGGGTAAATCGTCCTAACAGGATTGATCAAAGTGACTGGATATGTCTGGAATGCAATTTTGGATCCATATGTTGGTCTGTTCATCACGTGCTCATCATATATTTTTTGTATTTTACAAGGATTTAATACCATCAAAACATTTTACGAAATACAAGACAATACTGTAGGCGAAATTAAAAAACTACAAAATAATCATTTGGAGGCTAATACTAGAATTTTCTGTCATGTCCAATACGTGCCTTCCTAAAATATATTAGAAATCATAACACTTTCAGTTGATACAGACATTTTTTGTTCTAGACATTCACTTTTGGTTTTATTAAAAGTTTTTTTTGGTTTTTGAAGATTATGAATTATAAGTAAACAGTTAAAAACCAAAATTACAGAATGACAACAAATAGAGTAGTAAAGACGGCAAGAGATGGTTCTCCGATAAGAAGACCACGTAATCGATGGAATGAAAACTTACTGGAGGCACATTGAAAAACAGACAGAGTCATGTCTACATAAAAAAAAGAAGAAGAAAAATAAGAAATAGCTTTTGGATGTAACCTAATATGATCTAACTAACTCAATCTGATTTCTGACTATTTTGTTGCTGACACGAGAAGATTATGATTTGCATCATCTTTTCTACTAAGAAGAAGAAAGAAAGAACAACAAAAAATATTAATGAGAAAAGGCAGCAAATATTCAATTTCACGCAAACAAATGCTATGTATCTCTTAATACGTATTTCGACCTAATAGGTCTCGTCAGAAGAGCTATTCATAGGGGTTCTCAACGTGAAAAATCAATATTTTCTGCCTTTTAAGAAGCAACAATAACATGGCTTCAATACGGACGCACAAGCGACATCTAATTAAACAATCGTAAAATAGTTTCGAAACACAGTTCAGATTTCTGCTTTTAATCTGAGCCTTCTAAAAATTGCAAGGCAAAGAGACGTTGATAAAATATGTTACAAGAGACATGGGGAATCTAAAATTTGCATTCCACGACATGTCTTTTACAACTAAGCAGAAATCCTTAGCGAATTGTGCTTCTAGTACTCACACAGAGTAAATATGAATAAAATGAGAAAAGGCAGCAAATATTTTATTTTACGCGAACAAATCCTATGTATCTCTTGATACGTATTTCGACCTAATAGGTCTCGTCAGAAGAGCTATTCATAGGGGTTTTCAACGTGAAAAATCAATATTTTTTACCTTTTAAGAAGCAACAATAACATGGCTTCAATACGGACGCACTAGCGACTAGGGATGGGAAAAACCTACCGGTTTTAACCGAAAACTGGTTTTTTTACTTCGCAATAACCGGTTTTATCGGTTGTTTTTTTGTCCCGGTTATAACCGGTTTTTTATTTTAAAGTAAAAACCGGTTATTAGGTTTTTACGGTGATTAGGTTAGGTATTATTTTGGATCCCAGTCAAAATTATTATTCTCAAGTAATTATTTCAAACAAAACATAATTCAAATTTTATTTTATTTTATCAATAGAGAAGCATACTGAAAGTGCAAACTCACATCAGCCAGAAACAATTAAGTTTTATTATAATATTTCGTTGAAAAGGTATTTAAAATCATAATATTTACATAAGAAACATCCTATATTTTTCACACTTGACTCTTGAGATTGAAAGTGGGTGAATGGCTTTTGCTAATTACAAAAATAATGTTCTGACTATGAATATCGAATTACTGATTACGAATACGAATCTCCGAGATTTCCCTACGTTTTTAAAACGAGAGGAAGTAATAAATGAGTTAAAATGTACCTATTATACAAATATACAAACTTGTTAAAAGTAATACATGATAATTTTTTTTTGATGGTAGTAAAAATAAAAGATGAATTGCATTATCCAATTTAGTTTTAAGTAAAATATTTGTGTTAATATTATTTTTTTAAATCCCATTTGAAAGAGTCTGGAAATTTTTCATAAATTGCAATGGTTGAGGAATTTTTTGAGTTTGGAGGAGAGGAAAACTAATGGATATTTTAAAGGATTATATTTTTAAATGGTAAATTACTACTTACTACTCTCATAATATATTCAATGACTATAGAACCTGAATTATTTCAGCGCTCTCTGTTGAGCAGTAGTATAATATTATATTTAATAATAATCAATAAAATATATAATGGTTTTATTAAAAATTGTGTCTTATTTAAATTGATATTGATGTTCTTTCGATAGTACTAATTTTGATAATATTGATATCGAGTCGAATGAAGTATCGCAAACTAAAGTGCATTGTAAATGTTACTTTGTAATCTATTGGATTAAAAAACCCGAAAAACCGGTTTTTTTTTGGCCGGTCTTAACCACCAGGTTAAACCGTTAGCAAAAAAAACCGGTATAACCGAAAACCGGTGTTTTGTCAAAAACCGCCATCCCTACTAGCGACATCTAATTAAACAATCGTAAAATAGTTTCGAAACACAATTCAGATTTCTGCTTTTAATCTAAGCCTTCTAAAAATTGCAAGGCAAACAGACGTTGATAAAAGATGTTAAAAGAGACATGGGGAATCTAAAATTTGCATTCCACGACATGTCTTTTACAACTAAGCAGAAATCCTTAGCGAATTGTGCTTCTAGTACTCACACAGAGTAAATCCAAATAAAATAAGGAAAGGCAGCAAATATTTGATTTCACGCAAACAAATCCTATGTATCTCTTGATACGTATTTCGACCTAATAGGTCTCGTCAGAAGAGCTATTCATAGGGTTCTCAACGTGAAAAATCAATATTTTTTGCCTTTTAACATCTTTTATCAACGTCTTGCAATTTTTAGAAGGCTCAGATTAAAAGCAGAAATCTGAATTGTGTTTCGAAACTATTTACGATTGATTAATTAGATGTCGCTAGTGCGTCGGTATAAAGCCATGTTATTGTTGCTTCTTAAAAGGCAGAAAATATTGATTTTTCACGTTGAGAACCACTATGAATAGCTCTTCTGACGAGGTCTCTTAGGTCGAAATACGTATCAAGAGATACATAGGATTTGTTTGCGTGAAATCAAATATTTGCTGCCTTTTCTCATTTTATTCGGATTTACTCTGTGTGAGTACTAGAAGCACAATTCGCTAAGGATTTCTGCTTAGCTGTAAAAGACATGTCGTGGAATGCAAATTTTAGATTCCCCATGTCTCTTTTAACATCTTTTATCAACGTCTGTTTGCCTTGCAATTTTTAGACGACTCAGATTAAAAGCAGAAATCTGAATTGTGTTTTGAAACTATTTTACGAAAAAATACTAAGTTCAGGTTGGTCAATGCCCTCGTTTTATTTATTACTACACTTGCAGCTATAACTTGTACTCTCAAAAAACGATAGAAATGAGATCAAAGCCTTCAAAATGTGAGTCTACACAAAAAGTCTACGCGTGTTCTGGACACAGAAACAATCTTTTAATTTGATATAAAAGACATGCTGTTTTGGCCACATATCCAGAAAATTAAGCACTATTAAACTATTGGTAATAGAGGAAAAGATGGAAGGCCAAAGACCGAGAGTAAGATTTTCAACACGATGAGCAGACCAAATGAACACTCTGGTGAGAAAATCCTTATCCTCCCATAAACCCGTCCATATGGCAGATGATCGCAACCATTAGATACAGCAAGCTAACAATATTTGGAATGTCACTACGCCCTGACAAGGGCTGAAGGAATGAGGAGGATAAGTGCACCAATATCATCATTATTTCTATTATTTTGGTCACTGGATCTACAACTAAGGCCCGACGTCCCTGGTTAAGATCTTTTGGGAGCATGTTTGATTGCATTTGGGTATCTTGTTCTGTAACTGTAAGTTTTTAACATTAAGGAATATAACTTCCCCGACTTTCACTTTCTGAATTTTTGTTGTTTCTTGAGCAGACTCAGAAATTCATGCCATGTTCATTATTATTATTAATGTTTCGGGTAACAGATATATTCTTTAGGTCCAATGTTGCTGGTTGCGGTGATAAGGGTCGCAGTTTTGACTTCAATTGCAAATCGTTGTTCCTAATATTAATAAATATTTTAAAACTCTTTTAACCCTTCTGTAAGCATTGTTTTCCCCCATTTGTAAGGTTTTGTAAAGTAAAGTATCTAAAACAGTATTTTGGAGGAACTTGCAAAATCTTACCTCTGTAGATTTGTCTCAATTGACCTAATTCATTACACCAATTTGTTTTAAGGGAACTAAAGTAGCCCATATCCAACAAACATAGTATTTACTGGAATGCATGAGCTAAGGTTGTCGCCGATAATCACTTTTTTGTCTACTTTTTTGTTAGTGTAGGTAGAACTAGTGTCCTAAACCAATTATCAGAAGTTTTATCATAAATCCTTTTGTCAAATTTAATTTAATATCAAAAGATTTGTATTCAACCCATCGAGCAAAAAGACAAAAAAAGGAATGTAAAAGTAGTGGGGACAAAAATATTGTTAGACAGGAAGTGCTATCTTGAGAGGCCACTTTAAACAAGGAAGGACAGTCTCTTTCCTTGTTTAAGAAATGAAATTTAGTTTGGTTATGTTATAGTTTGTCCCAACTGTCACATGACATTTTATTTATATTGAAGTTTTTTACCAATTGTGTCACTTTTTAGACTATGATCGTTAATATTTAATTAAAACTTTCTCGTCTGAAAAATATTTTATAGCTATTGCCAATAAGTGTCAGAAAATTTAAACTTAGCGCCTTTGCATTTCCGGATACGTCCGCCATCAGAGGCCACTTTTTTGGTCTCCTTTTCATAACCATTAGATTCCCTCTTTTGTCTTTTTGCTCGATGATTCAACCAAACCATTACGTCAATTTTGACAGTAAAGCATGAAAAAATATTTATTAAGTTAGTCCGAACAAATACACATTATTTGTAGATTACAAATAAGTTGAGAAATTGTAGATATAATATTTAAAGAGCTGAAATATTCAAACAAGCAACCTCTCGACTTTAAATTATATAACATAAAATGAAATACCTACAATAAAAAATGTAGGATACAATCTAAAAAACAACAGTAATGAATTTTCTTCCTGCTCTAATCAAGGTCAAGTTTTCTGAAATTTCCATGAAATCCGAGAATCTCGTCGTTGATTAGGGGCATCGGTTTCAGTTCTTCTTTAATCCTTATTTTCTCCAGAGCATCGAAGCGTTCTTTATATTCTGCCAATTTCGCCTTCCACAATTCTGAAAATTACAAATTGTGGCATTAGCTAATAATCTTGCTAATCTTTAATAATAAATTCGTCTTAGGTTCCTTTTGGAGTTTAAGAAGTGGAAACAGAGTATTTCGGGTTTTAGACACAAAATGGAATCAGATTTTTATAATACCCGGCCATAATTGCGTGCCAGTGGCTGTAAGAAATTTATAAATTTTTAATGGGGTATGTGATACTAAAATTTTCAGATCTATTTATTATAGATGATACATTTTACAGTATTAAATCATCACTTAAAATCTAGGCTGCTTATAGTATATGATCAAAATGCAGGATCATTACGTTCATAACGTAGTTAATGAAACTCACATCTTAACATACATTTTAAATTAGAAGAATACATTAATGCTAGGTTCCCAGTCAAAAAGTGGCCGCAGATATTTTTAATTCAATTGGTAATAATTAATTTTTTAATAAAATTTTTCTTTTTTTCTTTTTTATTTAAATAAAACTCGTGGCTTACGACCTATATGCATGTTTTCTATAATACAGGGTGAGTGGGGAGGAACGCACCAAACTTTAAGACTGTATAATATACGTAAAAATAAGTAAAAATAACTCATATGTTGTTATTCGATTTTCATTTGTTTTCGAGTTATAGCGAACACATTGCTGTAACAGGTATCTGTGATTCGTTTAATAATTAGTTAACTGTCATAATAGTGTAGTGTCAACGTGATTTAATGTCTATTTGACAGTTTGTATAAAAAAAGTTATTGCAAAATGCCACATACTTATTCAAATCGTGATTATGCAAATATGGTGTTTGTTTATGGCTTTTGTAATGGAAACGGTAGAGCTGCTGTTGAAGAATATCGTCAACGGTTTCCAAATCGGAGAACTCCAGATAAAAATGTATTTATTAGAGTTTTCAACAAACTATGCGAGACCGGAACGCTTCCTAGTTATAAAATAATATCGGAACGTGCTCCCCGACAAAGTTTACAAGAAATACAAAATATTCTGGATTCAGTAGAAGATGATCCAGGGATCAGCTCACGAAGAATCGGTACTCATTTAGCCATTCCTCAAACGAGAGTAATTAACACACTTCACGAGCAAGGTTTATATCCATACCACCTACAACGTGTACAGCACCTACAACCAGAAGATTATGCCAGCCGTATGCAATTTTGTCGATGGATAAATAATAATCGTCGTGTTATATTCCGCATACTTTTTACCGATGAAGCAACATTCACCAGAGACGGTATTAATAATAGCCGCAACTCACATGTATGGTCAGATGAAAATCCACATGCAACAATTGAAGCTAGTTTTCAGCACAAATTTTCGGTAAACGTGTGGTGTGGTGTGATCGACGGTTATTTAATTGGCCCTTTTATATGTGAGAACCGCCTTACAGGAGAGGAGTACTTGAATTTTTTACAGAATGAATTGCCAGGACTCCTACAGAACATTCCACTAAATATCAGAATGCAAATGTATTATCAGCACGATGGAGCTCCTGTACATTTTGCTCGTCAGGTCAGGCAACATTTTAATACAAAATTTCCAAGGCGTTGGATTGGTCGCAATGGTCCTATTAGTTGGCCTCCGAGGTCTCCAGACCTAACACCATTAGACTATTTTTTATGGGGCTGGTTTAAAAATGAAGTTTACAAGGTAAAAGTCGACACTCGCGATGCACTAATTCGACGCATTAAAAATGTTGCAGCCACAATTAGAGCAAACCATGACGCAATCAGAAGAGCAACGTTGAATGTTCATTATAGACGAAGCAGAAAATGCTTACAGGTCAATGGTGGTATTTTTGAAAATTTATTATAAGAACATTTAACATTAAATTATTGTTAAGTTACAACTTTGTGTTATTATCGCTATAACTCGAAAGCAAATGAAAATCGAATAACAACATATGAGTTATTTTTACTTATTTTTACGTATATTATACAGTCTTAAAGTTTGGTGCGTTCCTCCCCACTCACCCTGTATATTGTAACATTTTTTTTATAGTTAAAATATTAAATTATTTGTTATTCCTTTACCCCTGTTGCTGATATGCCCATGGTCGTATTCGCAAATAGTTTGTTAAATTTTGGAACGTCCCGACTTCTCAGATTATGAAATGTTTCTAATCCTTTCCTTTCTAATACTAAGTACGAAAGGAACTAATCATTTCCTTTCTTTTCGTCAAACAGCAGAATTGCCAATAAAAAGAGGAGTTCGTCAGGACTGTGTACTTTCTCCACTGTTATTTAATATATATTCCGAAGAGATCTTTCAAAATGCACTTGAAAACATTGAAGAAGGAATAAAAATCAACGGAGAATACGGAAACAACTTAAGATACGCAGACGACACCGTCAAATATGCTAGGTCCGCATTTCAACGAATGAAAAAATTCGTAATAAACTCTACGTTATCGTTGGATATCCGATACCAATTTGTAAAAACGTTTATTTATTCCATATTGCTATACGGAGTAGAAACATAGACTCTCGTAATTACAAGTGTAAGGCGTGTAGAAGCCTTTGAGATGTGGGTTTTTCGAAGGATGCTGAAGATCTCTTGGACAGAGCACGTGACCAACAACGAGGTGCTAAGAAGAATGGGTACTGGGAGAGAATGGAAAAAGAGTTATCTAGGACACATTTACAGAGGAGAAAAATACAACTTCCTACGACTTATAATGGAAGAGAAACTGGAAGGAAAAGGAAGTCCAGGAAGAAGAAAATGCTCCTGGTTGAAGAATGTAATGGACTGGATAGGTATGGACACACATTCGATACTAAGAACAGCTCAAGATAGAGTGCAATTTGCTGTAGTTATAGCCAACCTTCAGTAATGGAGAAGGCAACTTAAAAAGAAACAATGGGTACAACGAACAAACAATTAATAAAATTTTAAATCAAAAACTACACAAGAAATCCCTAAAATTTGTATTTCCATTACCAGAGAAAAAACCCAGTATCTTCTGCTCGATTATATATACAGGCAAGATATTAACAAAAATAGCCAAACACATAAAAAAGAAAGGATTAACACCAGCTTTTAAAACAAATAATAAAAACAACAAGAGCCAAAATAAAAAGCACTTACACAGTGGTGTATATAAACTTAAATCTAGCGACTGCCCAAAAACTTACATCGGTCAAACTAGTAGAACTATTAACAAAAGTATAGCAGAACATAAAAGGGCTTTCAATAATAGTAAAACAGATTCTACATACGCACTTCACCTTCTAGATTATAATTATTCTTTTAATGACGAATTTCAAATTCTTCACATTCACAATATTGGCCCTAAATTATCTTTATTTTTTTGCTATAAATAATTGTAGAAATAATCATGTTGCATACTCGCATTTAATTGCTTTTATTTTGCTCGTATTCGACCGGACTCAACCGATTCGTGTACTTGGATAGTAATCGTCACTTGCATATACTTGCCATGTCATGTGAGTGGGTTACTCGTACAATTGTTTGTCATTCGTTGAGAAGTGCATGCTTTTCTATACTTAAAGAGGGGCTCAAAGCAAATGTATAAATTTTTGGCAGTTACTGCCACTATTTATTCATTTTTACTTTTTATAGTGTATTTTTTTTTTATTGAACTGAAGTCGACAAATGACGTTATGTTGCAGTTTCTTCATAAAAATGAGCTGGTCATTTAAATGACCAAACATAAAAAACATAAAAATTGTAATGCAGTTAATGATACCTGAAAAAGAATACAAGAGAACATATCTGTTTAGTGCATTATAAATTAACTAAAGACAAAAAAGATACGCTAATTGCCACATGGCCTAAAGGTTCTCGTTTGAGATTCTGCAACATATGGGTGGCGCTATGTCTACAAAGAAAATTATGTTTTTTTTTCAGTTTCTATGTGTAAAATGCTGTTTTAGTGAATTTAAAATACAATTACTTACTGTTTCGACTTGTATTGAATGATACCATCCGCCATTTTTTTTTTTTTTAATTTAATTAAATAAGCAGATCGCATCAACACAAAAGCTGAGGAAGCAACACGAGATTTTCCGGAAGATCTCTATCCACATTGACTGTCACACCACTGATTCAGTTGTCAAGGTTTTTAAGAATACTTGCGTATACTTGCCATGTCTGTTCACGCTTGTGTACTTGTGAATTATAAACGTGGTATGAGCGCCCTGCTTGTCATCGCAATGTCAAAGCTTGTATACTTACGAAGTAGGCAAATAATTGTGTACTTGCCAAGTCCATGAAGTCCGCCTTTATATACGATATTCGTCACTAAGCGGCTTATGTCGTATCCCTCATACTCATATTAAAATGAGATTCATTAAATGCTCGTTGCATATTATACTACTGGTATAGGTTATTCCACGAATATACGACTGTTTTGGATTATTGCGACAATGAATATTTTACTGTGCAAATAGAAGTTTGAAATTAAATTAGTCTAAAGAGTATTCCAATAAAATGGATCTACTGTTAGTTTGACACTAAAACTAAAATTATTTCAGTTAATAGATGTTCCGATAGACGCAAAATTTATTGTGAAATTTAATCCGAAATTAACAAGTCCTACAAATAAATACAATGACGTCTATAAAGCCAAAATGTGTTCATTTGAGTTGGGTTTCCGTGAAATGTAAACACCAAAGAGACGTGCCGGGTTTCTTTGATATTACACTATTTTATTACTTTATTAGGTACTGCAACTGTAATAATAGAAATATACTATTTTTAATATAAATGAAAAGAAATTGGCAGATCTAATGATCAGATCTAGATCAGAAAACTGGAAAACTAGAAAAAGATCTAATATTTCACTTTGTTAGTTTTAAAAATTTGTTTGCTTTGCGTGGATGTACTCTTAAATGTTGCGAAAGTAATGCGTATAACATACTAGCTATTGATAGTTAAAGTACTGAATCGTTACAGATTAAAAAGTAACGAAAATTTACATACAGTTTCATATTATATCGCCGACTGATTTTAGTTTTATAAAGCATCCGT